CTGAAAGTCCCTCATCAGGCCTCTCTGAAGTGGTAACCACAAAGAAACTGAATGAGGCTCAGGAAAAAATGAAATCAGAAATAATCTCTCATGTGGGAAGCCCTCTAGGTGGCTGCCACCTTATATCTGCAGGCCACACCATCTTAATTCCCTCTAGGAGTTAAGTTTGGTAATTAAGCAGCACCTTGCCTAGCTTGTTTAGCCTGACCCATTATTCAGGGATTATGCTTATGAGCCCATTCCGCTGGAAATTTGAATTGACCAATAACCCTCAGTCTTGCCACTGTTGCTAAGTTACCTGCTGACTTCTCAGAACCCAACTCCCTCCTTCCCAATACCCTATATATTTGATAGTCATTCCTTGAATAAAGGAGACTTGATTGGACTTCCTCATCTTGTCTCTGCTCTTTGTGTCTCTTGTCCCTCTTCATCCCCACTCCCCCTCTAGGGTGTCCATGCACTTACCTTCAGGCTGGGTCACTCTCATATAACTACAGACATTATCAAAATACACACCACGCTTAGCAATATTAGAGCAGTCACACAGAGAGAGAGAGAGAGAGAGAGAGGCAGAGAGAGAGAGAAAGACAGAGAGAGAGAGAGAGAGAGAGAGGCAGAGAGAGAGAGAAAGACAGAGAGAGAGAGAGAGAGAGAGAGAGAGAGAGAGAGAGAGAGAGAGAGAGAAGTTTAAGAAAATTATGAAAGCTCAGCACAGGAAAAAAAAATAGAATCCACAAAGCAGATTCAAGCAGATATCCAGGAGAATAAAATCCCCATTGAAATACTTGAAGCAGATTAAGCCAAAATGAGGACAGGATCTCAGATATTAAAAACAGGCTAGCAATCACCACCAGGGAAAGAAAGGTCACTACTAGGAAAAGGAAGGTTTCTCAAAAATAACAAGGCACCATAAGAAATCAATCCAGCAGCTGCTAGATAAGATAAGAATAACTTAATATTAATAGGAGTCAATGAAAAAGTGGGAGATACCACAAATGGCATTTGAAAAAAACATTTACAGACATCATGATGGAAAGCATTCTTGGTAGAGAAGAAGAATTTGACATTCAGATAAATGAAGCATATAGAGCTCCAATTAGCCATGATCAAAACAATCAAATTCTATTTTTATTAATTTTCTCAAGGGCTGGGGGTTTAGTTCAGTGGCATAAGTGTGTGCCTGGCAAGCACTAGGTTGTGAGTTCGGTCCCCAGTACCCAAAACAAAGCAAAGGAGCCAAGGATTTAGCTCAGCTGCATAAGCACCTGCCTTGTAAGGCTGGGATACTGAGATCGACCCCCTGCCCTGCTGTGCAAAACAAAAAGGAAAGTTGTTTTCTCTATGCATCTGTCATTGATTTCTGCTATGTTGTGCTGTGTTTTCCTAATTCTTTAAGTTGAATGTTTGATTCATATTAATTATTCTACATTAAATAAGAAATGCATTTAAATTCACATTGTATCTGATTAAAATTTTAGTTTGATTATTGTGCAATAATTTCAATTTGTATAGTTTTTAAAGTTCTAAATATGTTACAGATTGCTTCAATTGTAATTTCCTCCTTTATCCAGGAATTAGGAGTTTTTGTTTCTAAAATTTTATAAACATCTAAAATTTTTTCAAGTTCTAATTCAGTTAGTAAAAAGATAAAGTCTGACCTTCAAATTGAACATTATTATTTTGATAGTGTTTTAAAAATAATGCTTTTTGGAGATTTAATTTCATTTCCTGTCATTGCTAGGTGAGCTTGTATAAATGTGATGCAGAGAGGCACCAGGCAGAAAATAAGAGAATAAGCTTTAGCACAAGACGGCTTTGATTTGCATCCAGTTCTAACACTTATTGTGACACAGACCTAAGGATTGGAAATATCAGTATTTGCATCTAGCTTTATTGATATGGAGCATGTACTGTTTCACACACTGTGCCCTGTTCCTGTGGAACTGTACGCATTGCTCCACGTTCTGAAGGAGCTGAGGAAAAAGGATCTTCCTTGGGGAGCGGGTAGTAGCTCTCCTGAATGCTTTGCTCTCTTCCTACTGTGACTTCACAGCACCCTCAGAACTCAGAATGGCTACTTTCCTCAATCAGGTACAACTTGCTCATAAAATGGGACAGGAGAACATTTTAATAAGTGATTTCTTCTTACCTTTGATATTCAAATGAGTGATACACTGTCTTCAAACTTTCTTCATTTTTTTTTTCTCTAATAAAATTGTAAGAAATGGGTCTGGCAATCTTTTTAAGAGTTGCATGAAATACTAGAATTTTTAGTACCTTAAATCTCCCTTTGGACAGTCATGGAATTACAGTATTTGTCCATGTATGAAGCAGCATCAGTTATTATGTGAGAATGTGAGTTTCCCTAGCATCTAGTGAAGTGGAGGACTGTTGATTCTGAGTCTCCAAGATGCTTTTGTGTTTTGGTAACCTGGGGCGCTTGGCAAACCTGCCAGTCTGCCTGTAGTGGCTTCCCAAGTCCCTCATGTCGCTGTGAGACAGCTTATTACATGCTGGCACAGGACAGCAGTCCACAGCTGTGACTAATCAGACATCTTCCCTCCAGCTCTTCCTGAGGAACTGAGGAGCGTAGAAGCATGAACATCTGGGTGCATATTACATATTTCTTAGTGCCCTCTAGTTGAGGGAATAAGGGAAAACTATGGTACTCTATGCCACTGCAAAATATGCCACTTTTGTATGATGGTAACATTGTGCCATGGCATTTGATAAGCAGCAGATCAAAGAAGGTATGCTAAGCTCCCTTATTATTCCTAAAACGAGAGCAAAAGTCTCCTGTGAAAGGTGCCCTCCAAGAACCAAGAGAAATTCAACACCACAGCAGAGAGAGCACTGTACAAATAGAATTTGTTAAAACGCATCTTATCTTCCTCACACAGTTTAGCTACTTTTCAACAATTGATTCTCTTTGTTCAACCTTTCATAAATTTATTGAGGTTTGGCCACATTTCTGGGGTCTTCATTCCCTTATAAGGACTCCCACATCACATAAAATTTAAAATAAGTTCATACGTTTTTCTCCAGTTAATCGATTTTCCTTCAGTTCAGTTCTCAAGCCTAGCTAAAAACCTTTAAAAGGCAGAAAGTAAAATTGTGTCTCTTTGACAAGGGCAAAGTGAAGAAATGCTTTCTTTCCTTTTTCATAGTGTGCGATTTAATCTGGATTGTCAATTTGATGGAATGTCTATATCACTGATTAGATTGGGAGAGAGCCGTCTCATCGACTGATGAGCCTGCTGTTGGGTGCACAGTGGATCAGGCTGTGCAGAGCAGAGGCCTGGTGGCCGGAAGTAGGCACTGGGGTTTCCTGACCGCCATCAAGCGGGCAGTTGTCCTTCACTGTGCTGTCCGCCAGGGTGGTTCTACCTCCAGGGAGCCAACCACAAACTGAATCCTCTGAAACTGCAGTTGTAAGCCAAAATATCCCTCCTGCAAATTGTACATGTCAGGTATTCTGTTCCAGCAGTGGGAAGATAATGAACACGTGGGTAGCAACATCCTAGATTTAGTGGGAGAAGATTTTACACTTTCTCTTGTTTTCAGGAAAATTGTATTTATGCATTTTCTCTAGTTTGTGATAATTTTTTAATTTTTAACCTCTGTGGAGGTTTTACTTTGCTTGACACACTTTAGTGTACTATGTTAGGCATATATTGTTTGATAGCAACTGAAAGTGAGACAATGTTTGAACTCTTCTAAATTATATCTCAATAATGCAGGACATTTAGAAATATAGTTACTAAAATTTCCACAAATTCTTTTAAGAGTCCAATATATCTGAAATATTAAAAGCAGAAATCAAGTAGTTTCCCTAAGGTAGGGATTTATCTATAGTTCTTAAAGTAATATTTAATCCACAAGAAAATGAAATAGAAAACAGCAGAAGTTTGAGAACCCTGGAGAGGTCAAGCCCAGGAAAATTTGTCTTCCTTTATTAAGGTGCCTACGTGTTTGCAGCTAGCCTGGCTGGAACAGCAGGCAAAGAATTCCTACTCAAGCAGTGTTGACTTTGCACAATCATTCTAGCTTCCAAATAAGCAAAAGAAAATTACATATTCATTTCAAATTCATTATTTGGCTTACTGTGAGTAGAGCTATATTCAAGTATGAATTTTTATGTCTCTAGATTATTAAAGACAAATTTTTTCCAGCTCTCTTAAGAAATGTGAAAATGGTAGAAAATAGAGACAGCACCTTAAAATGAAAGATAGGAGAGGGTGAAGTAGAAAGAAAAAATAAATCAGAGATCGGTCCCTGTAGTCAACACATTGTCTTAGAAAAAATGATTCTGAAGGAGGGAAAAAAAGAGACTTACCTTAAGCACGTGAAAGGTACTAGATTTATCTACTATTAAAAATCATGGAATGTGTCACACAGCTGTCAGAATTCTGAGATAATATTAACTTTCATTTGATGGCGATGCTCTGCCACTGCTTTCACATTTAACACAAAATCCATTTCTTCATCTCACCTTCAGAGGTAGTAAATTCAAGATTTATTGATCCGATGTCAATCAAATATGCTTTATTTTCTGATTCTTTGCCTTCCCTCACTGCAGCTCAGGGAAAACAGAAGACAGTTAACACTGGGGAGTGTGTGTGCTGACCGGCGAGTGAGGAGGAAAGGTTTAGTTGACTCAGTTTGGAAGGAGCATTAGTGCTGACAGAGTTTGTTCAGGGCCACCGTGCTAGGTCACTGCAGGGAGAGTGTCTAGGTAGAGAACACCTAAATAAAAAATGATAGAAGGCACTATGTTGCTGAGAAAAAACATACAACTACTTCCTTTCTTGAGTGGTACAGCAATTGTGGAATTGTATGAATAAAGTGAGCATGTTATATTTAGTAGCAGTAAAAGTCTTATTATTTAGTGCTTTCAAAACAATGTTATTTGAAAAATCTATTAAATATGAAGCTACTGAAATGTAAAAGTCTCATTAAGAAGCCACTGCGTACCAGTTACTGATCAGTAGGTGACATACCTGCTCCTGTTCTCCCCGCTGGGACCACTGCAGTCCTTGGATCCGTGTCCTCTGATGCAGCTGGCCATTCTGATTTGTCTGTAGTATCTCCCAGCTCCTACTCTTTAGTCTTGCCTGCTGTCTGGAGAGCCTGGTTTCCGTAGTTTTGATTTCTTTGTCTGCCTTCCCTAAAGATGGGGCTGCAACCTTGTCTCTTTCCTTTCGCAGTGGAGAAATCTGCCTGAACCAAAGGCACCTGTGATTCTGTCCACCACCAGCCTTTTCTGTGGTGATATCTGGGGTTGCAGGGGAAGATAACAAAAACCGAAACAAGAGAATGCACTACGTATGTTAGTGTTCAAGAGGAACAGGACTTGACAGTGAGGCACGGGGAGTGGCAGGTGAGCAGAAGAGGAACATGGGTGAAAAGGAACAGCTAAGCTGCTGACTAATGCTTCAATTTGTGTGATCACAGAAGTACCAGAATTTCAATATTTTTAAAATAACAAGACAACAATTTGAGGCGATAGCTCAGTGGTTGAGTGCTTGCCCAATAAGTGGAAGCCCTGAGTTCAATTCCCAGCGCTGCAAAATCAAAACAAAATAAGACAGAAGGTAGCGATGGTGGCATTTTTCTACCCTGGCTGCATGTTAGAAAGTTTTAGCATATTTAGACTTGAATTCTATTTCCTTCAATACACGATACAATCAGTCTAGATTATACTTTTATCAATAACAGTTTAAAATTCTTCCCCAACATTCCACTATACATACTGCCAACACTGAGAAATACAGAAATTAGAGAATGCCAGAATTTGAAAAACTGGAACTCTAAATGGAAGATACAGCTCTTATTTTTATTTTAACCAAAGAAAAAGAAGAGCAACTTTAATGTTTAAGGAGCACTTAAAGGGAGCAGGCACAGTGCTAACCACCTCTGTCTTTCTTTTGCTGGGAAAAAAATATCTGACATTAATAACCCCGTAGTGGAGAGGTTCGACTGGCTTATTTCAGAAATTTCAGTGCATGGTTGGTTGGTTCCATGGCAGAAATATCATGGCAGACAGTCACAGTGACAGAAATCCACTCAGTTTGTGTTGACTAGGAGGCAATGATGGAAGGGAGGAGCCCGTGGAAGGCAGGAGCCCAATGACCCAGTTCTCCTAACCAGACTCCACCTCCTCAGAGCACATTCAGTTACCAGCTCTTCAATTCATTAATTCAGCAATGAGTACAGTGTGGTCTAATGCAACCACACGCCAAAGCCCCTCCTTTGCACACGTGGGTTTCGAGGTGATATTCTAGATTTAAGTCGTAACAGTGTGTGTTACTGCCTATTTTTTCATACTAGTACTATGAAGTAGGGAAGAGTCAATTCCCTGTAACAAAGTGAGCTTTAGGGTGAAGTAATTTGCACAGGGCGACACTGGCAGGAAAGCTGGGAACTCGGCCTTTATCCTGGGCCTGGGGTTTGCCTTTTTTATCTGCCTTTCCTTTAAAATACTGGTAAAGTGTAATTTATCATGGACTATCTGAGAAATTGCATTCTTTAATCCTTTTTATCTAGTAATAAAAAAAACATAAATTCTATGTGTTCTAATTACTATGACCTTTAAGACTGTCTAAAATCATGGATCAGAAAAATGCAATCTACCTTCTATTTTTATGTATCTATCAAGCAAGAATAGTTATGCTTTCACAGCCAGAGCAGGCTTGCATAGCTGTGACAGAAACATATAGTCATTAAAATACAAGCCTGAAATATTTATTGTTTTGCCTTTTACAGAAAAAAGTGTGCTAACTTGTATTCTAAAGTAAAACCTAATAGAGAAATCTAAATGTGCAAAACTGATACATGATGTAGAGATTCTGATTCACACTTTTAAAAATTAAACAATGGGAAACAATTTGCTTCCTCAGGGTCTCTGTGTACTGGTTTAAAAATCCACAGGTAGCTGTAGGGGTTGGTGCTTAGAGAAATTAAAGTCAAAGCACCATGAACCATTATTTAGAGAAGATTAATCACAGCAAAAGTTAAAGCCTTTGCAAATGACATTACTAGCAATTCAGGATTCGCTGTAATGGCTCTATTTATTTTTATGTTTAGCTGTCAATTAAGTAAATCACTGTAGGCACATTTCCATTTTGACACCAAATACCATTTTACAAAATTTATATTTCAAAAATATTGGTGTGTGCAATAAGCTTTGCAAAATGCACCAATTTGTTAGTATGTTCTTTATTATATCAGCTGGACCAGACTTTCACCACACGTATTCCTTGGATCACATGCATAAGAATCACAAAGGATGCTTGTTTTGTTTATCATGATTTTTAATTGATATAAATACTAGACACATCGCCTTGTGATGTTTCCACACTTCAATATACTATGAAATATTTAAATCGCTATCACTATAAACCTCTTCAAATGTTTATTTTTCTTTGTATTGAAAACATTTATAATGAGTTGTTTTAAATACAGATTCCAGCTGAGCCTGGTGGCACATTCCTGTAATCCCAGCACTTGGAGGCTGACTAAGAGAAGTGGTAAGAGTTCAAAGCTACCTGGTGAATTCAAGTTCAACCTGAATTAAATAACAAGACCCTGTAAAGAAGCACAAGAAATGCAAAGTCCGATTCCAGAATTTCAGGCTCAACTTTCTGGTTCCAAGAGTTCAGGATTCTGCATTTCCTCAAATTTCCCAAGTGAATCTTACGCACTTTATAGCGTGAAAATTCAATCATGGCTAAATTAAGAAGGTAAATTCAGAGGAACAACCAACAGAGGAATAGAAACTTCCACGGAAAAGCGGGAGATTTTGAGTCTCTATATCCCCAAAGTACATTACCGAAAGCAAACATTAAAGCTATTTGCTAACGAGAAGCAGATTCATCAACATAGAGAAATAATTGAGATGAGGAATCTCACTGACAGAATGAAAGCAAGCATGGAGAATGCCTAGATTTTTCTTTTTTGCTTTACGACAGTGTGGCTGGCCTGAAGACCATCTCCCTTTCTGGAACTCCTTTATTATAGAAATAAGCAATTGTGCTGGGCATTTTATATTTGCTCCTCCAGATCCACTCACCATTCTTTTCCACGTATTTGCTTTCTACCGCTTGAGGCTGAACGATACTAACTGCGTCAAGAAGTTCCTCTGCCCTTTTGCTTCTAGTAGGAGTCACTAGTGTTGTTCCACACCAGGAGATCAGAGCTGAGGAGGAGAGTAGGACTGCCTCCTTGTGGAGCCCACTCTGACTAGCTGTCTCTGTGGACTGAAAGTCCTGGCTATGTGCAAGGTGGTCTTTTCTGCAAGACACTCTAGGACTCCGTATCTTTCACCTTGTCCATTTGCCTTCAGGGTAGTAATACTCCATGGTTGTTGCTAATGCCAGGTTAACCTGTGAAATCCTATCTGTTCACATATAACAACCTCCAAGGTTTGCAAATATTAAAATGTCCTTGATTTCTCTTAATTTGACTATGACTTCTGCTTCCTGTTTGGATCTTGTAGAAACAAAAGCAAAATGTTTCATGTGAGATTTCAAGAAAAAAAAATGAGGGAGCATCTTTTCTCCACAAGCAAAGACTTTATTAAGTATAGTAAGGATTATATTTGCGCATTTTCCACACTAGCCAGAATTTCTAGAGGGCTATCACTCTTTCATGTTCAATACTCATTCTTTGCATATGTTTACTTAATTTTTGCAGAATGTGTAAATTATCTATTATCTTAGAAAATTTTACTATATTATCCTTTTCCTCAGAAAATTTGTGACATGCACAAAAATGCACATATTCAACATGTTATTTTCTGTTTTTATAAAACCCACACCCATTAATATGATTAACTATCAATGCTCATGCAGATCTGAGCAATGGTAAATGGTAATTAATTTTGTTTCAGGGAAGCTTTTTAAGGCATTTGTTATAAGTAGAGACATTATTAACAAATTGTGGAAACAGAGTAACAATACATAAGAGAACAAAAGAAAAACATAATAAATATTGATTGGAGCTGAGGTGAGCTCAGGAACGATTATTTACGATTTAAAAACAATTACTTAAAAAAGGACCTTTATATCTCCCCCCCCCCCTTTTTGTCTCTCTGAAGCATGGTAAATCAGAGATATTAGTCTCTTAAATTAGTAGGCTTACCCTTTGAGAATCAGAGTGCTAGAAGATTTTAAGATGTGACCGGCGCAGCCCCTCAATGAGACAGGAGACGCTCTTGTGGGCGACAGTTAACTGCTGCTTTATTCACGCAGGCTCTGGTTTATATATTTGGCCGTGACCAATCACAGGCTGCCACGAGGAAGCAGGGCGGGAATGGGACGCAGACTCTGGCTACTATATCCAGCTGTGGCCAATCAGGAGTTGCCACAGAGTATGGAGTGAGCACGAAGTGCGCATGGGTTGGCTAATTTAAAGAGGGACGTAGCGAATTGCGGAAGCTGGTGTGGTCCTTAGTCCCGGGTGGGGTATGGTATGTTGAGCGCCTGCGCCCAACAAAGATGTTTAATGAAACTACATATTTTAACTTGTTACAAGATTTTTTTTTGTGAAATTAGTAACAAATCCTGCATGAGTTGCCCAGACTAGACAAAAACAAAACAAAACAAAACAAAACAAAACAAAACAAAAAAACAAACAAAAAACTTAGTTGTTTTAAATATGTAGAGATACACTAGTGAGTAGAAACTCTAGATAATGTTCTAGTTTTCCATTCTGACTCCTCAGAATGTAGATTGCAGCTTCTTTATAGAGACCAGGATACATGGTTTAGGTTTAGGTGTAGGTTTAGATGCTCACAAATCAGGAAGCATATTAGCCTTCTTCTCCATTTCATCCACTTAAAATTCCTACTTAACTTTAGTTTTTCGCTTCATAGAGCAAAATGTCTGTGTCCAGAAGACTCTGCTTTTTCCTTTTTGAAAGACTAGGATCGGTGCACATTCTCTAGTCAGTTGCCATCCCCGTCATGCAGATAACTAACTACCCTTCTTTCAGGAATAGACTGAGGACAACTTTCTGCACCACACCAAATACCATTGTGAAGAATGGAAAAATCAATTACACTCTGTTTGTGTTTCTATATGACCTGGTCTTCCCCCTTTATAAGTAATTTTAGGGTTGAAGAGAAGACTGTTCAATTTCTCTTTACAAATGTGTTAAAGCTCAGAATTCCTTTGTTAATGTTTAACCTAAATATAATAGGGCTGCTTATAAGCAATTGCCTTGGATAAGGTAGCATATATCACATTATGGTTCATTACATTTTGGTATATAAGTGTCATGCACTTTTTTTGACAGTAGATTTCTATAAGGAGTACGTGGGGTGTAAGAAAACATGAGGATCCTCTCTGAAGCGCAGAAAGAAGCGGAAAGTTTTCAAAATAAAAATTAT